CGACTCGCATCCTCCTCGTCCTCGTCCTCCTCCTCCTCCTCCACCCCTTCCTCTTCCCTCCCCTCTTCGTGTCTGCACCTGGAGGACTGAACAGAAGAAGAATCGACGAGCCTCCTGATGCCACTACTCGCGCTTGGGTTCCTACTCGTTCCCCTCCCCGTCCCCTGCCCATTCGCCCTGAGACTCATCCTCCCGCCCATTACTTTTCCTGCTCGTCCTCTTTTCGTACCACCTCCTTCCCGTCCTCCACCTCCGACGGCACCGAAACGACGACGACGACGACGACGGCGGCGGCGACGGCGGCGGCGGCGGCAGCGGCGACGACGACTCAGACTCCAACGCCGACTCATCACCTACTTCCTCCTCCTCCGTTCTTTCCTCCTTCCCCGACTACTCGGACTCTGGCTGTGGACTCTTCCACCGCTCTGCCTCCCACTCCTTCAAACCGCGCCCAACATGCCCCGCAAAACTGCCCGAAACCCTTTTGACTGTCCGGTTGCCTCCTCTTCCTCTTCCTCCTCCCGGGGAGAAGGAGGCGGATGGGGAGGAGGTGGAGGAGCAGGAGCAAGAGCAGGACCAGGAGGAGGGGGAAAAGTGGGAACGGGACTTGAGAAATGGATGCAAATATGGATGCGAAAGATCGGCTCCTTCTCAAGGTGGAATGCGAGGACGCAGCTAAGGCGTGTCTAAGGCGGGCACAAAGCGCGGAAGGCTAAAACGGCAGCGGAGGGTGCAGGCAAGACTGGGGTGAGATAGGCAAGACAGATGCCTTTGGAGTCTGGCGACGCAGTCGCTAAGCGCGTCCTCGTCAAAGTTCAAGAATGCTTCGCGAGTCCCTAGATCACGATATAACCCCACTCGCCTTCCCCCTTCGCCCCACTCCCCGTGGCGTAGTCGTCCGAGGAGGTCCCGCGCAGGTATGGATGGCGCTGCGCGTGAATGCTCCGACGCCGGCGCTGCGTTTCGAAACCCGGAGGTCGCTCGCAGGTCTTGCGGCCGAGGCTGGCTGCGGCGTGCTCGGCAGCCGTGTCGATCTCCAGCTGACTATGAGCGCTCTTCAGCTCCTCGAGCCCCAGACCAAGGTCTCCAGCCTCTTTCACTTCGCGCCAGGAAGCCAACATCGCCTTGTGGACATGGCCAGATAAGTCGCCGTCGGTCTCCTCGGGTCCTCGGGCGTAGCCGACAGGGGAGATGGCGAGCCGCACTCGGCGGCGCTGGCGGCGGCGCTCTCAGGAACGTCGACAACGCAGACACCGGGCGATCCGTGAAGGTCCTGTCCGCGCCTGCAACCAGCAGCGGCTCGTCGCCAGAGATAGACTGAATTATCGGACGTCGCGCTCGCGAACATAGTTGGCGAAGTGCGGGCGCCTCAGACGGCGACATAAGTCCGCTATGCCCAGGGCGAGTCGCTCGGCCATCTTCCATGGCCGTATTTGAGCGCCGACGCCGTCGTGACAGGCCGAGTCGTCCTCATCAATGCACCTCCGCGACGATCGAAGCCCGGGCTGACATTGGTCGAAGATGACCTTGTCCACGCCTAGCGCCACCACCATCTCCGGCCATGGCGGCTCGTCGCACCACCATGATGGCATGGGCTGCGCATCGACGATGCAGCCGCCTAGGTCTAGCTTCAACTGTTCAAACATCGGCCATGGGAGGCCGCGTCCCAGGTGGGGCCCGCCTGTATTTGGCCGTTGCCCAGGGGCCGCCGATGTTGCCGAGCATATCAGTCCACGGCTCGCTGGCGGCCACAGCCGGTGGCCAAGTCGAAGTTCTCGCCAGCTCTCAGGTCGCGGCGGAAAGCCAAGTCTGATGAGCCCCGATTCTCGAACAAGCAAACCTCCATAATGTCGGCGCCGCAATCAAATGAAGTGAGGTAGATGGAGAGCTGGTGAATGGTGTCGAACTCAGTGGACAGCGGTGTTTCGGAGACCATATGTCCGATAATGTGGGGACTGTGAGCGTTAATCGCCGACAAGCCTCGGAACCACCATGTGGGCAGCCAAAATTAGAGGTCGTCCTCCTCGCGCCCGTCGTCGCAAATAAGGTCGCCAAAAGCTGGAAGGCCGAGCCGAAAATATAAGAGCAGACAGGAAAGGTCGGAGCCGCAGTCCTCGCAGTGGTCGTCGACGACCTCCATGCGCGTCGTGGGCACGTGGCTATCATAATTATCTGCCGTGGGGTAGGCGCCAGTGACTCAGTCGCCCGGCGACTCCTGCGATCGTTCATGATTGCGGCCCTGGGCGTCTGACAGGTTGGAGTGCGCGCGATCCTGGGCGCGCTGCCGGGGCCCGCGAATGAGTTCTGCCTTCGGAGTCGAAGAGGTGTTCGAGTGGACGTGGTCCTGGGCGTGCTGCTGACTGTAGCGCATGCGCTTGACTATAGGAATAGAAGATGCGTTCGAGTGGGCGTGGTCCTCGGTGTTCTGCAAGGTGTCTTGCTCGCGGTCGGCTCCCGGACTGGAAGATGTGTTCGAACGGGCGCGGTCCTGGCCGTGCTTCTGGGCGTCGTGCTCGCGTCTGACCGCAGGGCTGGATGGTGCGTTCGAGTCTGGTGGGCACACTGCCGTCGCGCCTCATTGACAGCGCACCATCTTCGATGCGCCCAAGCTGGGCGGGGAACAACTGCAATAAGTGCATGTCGCCGCGCTTCGTGGCGCGTCAAGGCCGAGTGCACTCGTGAGCGGGCAATCGCTCAGTTGTCGACGTGCTTCTCCTCCAGCATGATATTGCTCGGCGCATCTGGTTGCGCATGGGCGCCCCGGCAAGCGCCGTGAAGACAGCGCCGCTGCGTTCGTCCTCTGGGGCCACAGGCATGCGCCAAGCGCGACGCGTGCTGAAGCGGAGCGCGAATATGTCGATCACCTGCCGCGCTGCCCGTCGCTTCCTGGCGCCGACATCCTTGGCCCTGGATTACCAGCCAGGAGGGGGGTCAATGACGAAGTCACCTTGGCCCGCATTCGCGTCGCGCGACATCCGCCGCGCGCTGCAAGTGGCGCCCGGAAGCGCGCTGTCGGACAACGACGTGATGGCGCCCTCGAAGCTCGAGGCGCGAATGACGTCCCAGCGCGGTTGCTCCTTGGAGCCATTGGTGCCACGGGCGCCGACAGACCCCTCGGACGTCGCGCTGCCTCCCTCTCTTGCGGCGGCGGCGGAGTCTCGGCCAAGGAACGTCATGCCAGTGTTTCCAATGCCCCCAGGTCCAAGAGACGAAGGAGGGAAACTGAGCACGACCGCGACCTTGGCATCGTTGACGACGTGCTCTGACGTGAGCGGGGCGAGTCGGCGGCCCCGCTCGACCGCGCGCGTCTGCCGCCTGGTTTTCGGCAGCGCTCTGATCTCGCCGCGGGCCCCCTCGCGCCGCCCGCGACGTCGATCCCCTAGGCGGCGAGCCCGGGGCGAGGGGCAATGCGCAGGCAAGCGCCCGGCGGCGCTAAGACCGCCGCGCAGGTCGGCGCCAGACGACGACCACAGGTCGCAATCCTGACGTCTGCGCAGGCGTAAGGGTCGTAGCCTGCGGCCCTGGGCGCGCCCTGTGAGGGTGCCCGCGCGCTGGGGCTGATGAGCTGGATCGCGGCCGTCAGTGGCGTTGCCCCTCCGGCTGTCCTTGCTCGCCGCCAGCAGCGCGAGCTGCTCGGGCGGCAGGCCCCAAGAGCGCGGCCAAGGCTGGCGGATGTCGTCGATAGGGGTGCGCAGGTGGCCGCTCGGCGCCGACTCGCGATCGAAGTGAATGGTGCTGGGGCCCCGCGTGAAGTAGCGCTCGCCTGGCCTAGGGATGCTCGGAGCGTCCTGTGACACATGCAGGGGGGTGCTCCTCGTTCGTCGCGTTGTCAGTGTGTTGAGCACCGCCGTCTGCACGATCGTTCAAAGGAGTGGACATCGGCACCCAGTCCTCCCAGGCAGATGGGAACGCGCGGGTAAAGTGAGAGGTCAAGTACCGAGAGATCGAAAACTGTCTGGGGTGAAAGAGAGCTAATGCATTAGGCTTGACTGCGCTGAAGTCTGGTTCGCCCAGATACGCTTCGATATCCTTCGGAATGCTGATGATACAGCCACCAGACCCTCCATTGAATCCAACCTATTCTCTGCCTGCTCCATCCAGGGCTCTTGTGATACAGTCGCCAGAAGCTCGGAGCAGTTAGCTGACACCGTAGATGCGAAAATTGCGTCGAGCCACTATCCGAAATCTGTGGGTATTCCCACAGGCTGGTGCATTGAAGGCGCAGGGCCAGAGAGCTTGCTTGACACACTCAGCGCCTGGGAGGGATCGCTGAAAGTTTTGGCGCGCCACGAAGTCCGTCGTCGTCGGCGGCGCGGCCGGGGTCCTGTATATCCCGTTGATGTATTTGTTGGGTCAGGTGCGAGCCCTCCCCGTCGCCGGTCCTTGCGGATGAGCGGCTGCCCCGACGGACCATATAGAGTGAAGTCTCCTGCCGCGGTGAATGAACATCGGTGCACGAAGGCTGAATTAAGAGTGGGATGCCAACTTGATGAACAACGGGAGCGAGAGCGGCGGATGGTTGGGGCCATGGCTGTCGAAGACTGGAGGACCATTGCGGCTGTGGCCTCGGAGCGGCAGCTCCGCTATCGGCTAGACAAATTGATGTAGAAGTGGATTTGAGAGATGGGCTCTTCCTGAAGGCGGAATGCGAATGCGCAGTTAAGGCGTGTCTAAAGCACGGAGTCCGGCAAACATGGCAGCGGGAGGTGGAGGCAAGGATGGGGGTGAGATAGGCAGGACAGAGGCCGCCCGAGTATGGGAGAAGGGAGGGGGCAGGAGGAGGAGGGGGAGGAGGAAAGGGAGGAGGAGGAGGAGGAGGAGGAGGAGGAGGAGGAGGAGGAGGAGGGGGAGGAGGAGGGGGAGGAGGAGGAGGAAAAGGGAAAGGAGGAGGAGGGGAGGGGGTGAGGGGGGGGCGACCTCCCAGTCCTCCTCGAGCCTCGTCCGCCCCCCCCCAAGCCCTGCGCGGGTGCCACGCCGCGCCGCCCCGCGGGGGCGCCAACCTTGGGCACTGGCAGCTTCATGACGCCATCGATCGGTATGAGGTCCTGAGGCGCCCAGCGAGGTCGACGAATGGGTGCTGTCGTCGTCGTCGTCGGCGCCAGCGCCGTCGCCATCGGCGCTGGCGTTGCCGTCGGCGTCCTCCTCCACCTCAGCCTCTGCGTGGGGCAGGGGAGTGGGAAGAAGGACGGCGGGAGCGATAGCGGAGGTGGCCAGGAAAGGGGGGGAGAAGGGAATGGGGGGAAGAAAAGGGGAGGGAAAGGAAAAGAGGATGGGGAAGATGGCTACAATGCTGCTGCTGGTGGTGACGGTGATGGTCAGGCCACGATGCTGATGATGATGAGGATGATGATCATGGTGATGATGATGATGATGATCATGATGGTGATGATGATGATGATGATGATGATTATGATGATGATGGTGGTGGTGGTCATCCTGATCAGGATGATGGTGCTGATGATGATGCTGACGATGATGCTGATGATGATGCTGATGATGATGATGCTGCTGATGATGATGACGATGATAATGATGCTGATGATGCGATGCTGCTTATGCTGGAGATGATAGTGACGACAAAGATGATGATGATGATGATCATCATCATGTTGATGATGGTGATACTCGTGGTGATGCTTATGAAGATGATGGTGATGCTGATTGTGCTGGTGATGGCGATGCTGCTGCTGCTGCGGCTGATGATGATGCTGCTGATGATGTTAATGGTGATGATTATAATGGCGACGACGAGGATAATGGTGATGATGATGTTGACGGTGATGATGGTGAAGTTGTGGTGATGGTGATGTGATTGCTAATGTTGGTGATGATGATACCGATGATGATAATCAGGATGCTGCTGATGATGAGGAAGAAGAAAAGGACGAGGCGGAGGGAGAGGGAGGGAGGGTGAGAGGAGGAGGAGATTCGAAGGTAGCGCTCTGTCAGCAGGACAGAAAGGGAAAAGGATAATGCGATGGGGAACGAGGAGGTGGATGTTGCCGATGATCAAGGGTTGCTAATGGGGGCCGGCGGTCAAGACGCGAGCTGTGGGGGGGACGACCAAACAGAGCTGCTGCAACCTGTGGTGCCCATCATAGCGAGCCGGGGGGCTCGACCGATGGAACGGTGACGACTCGGTTTGTACCCGGGGCTCGCTGGGCGGGCAGGGGGGCACCGAGAGCTGACGACTCGGAGCGGCCGTGTCTGGCGACTCCCAGCGGTCGACGGCGACCCTCCCCCGCCCCCCTCCTCCGGCCGCGGCCCGCCCAACTGCCACCACGGCGCCACGCCAGTCAGGGACACGGCGGGGAGCGGACACAGCCCGCCTGTTGACGAAAGCGCTGGCGTCCCCACCAGCCGCCAACCGCCGCCAGCCGCTCCGCTGCGACGTGGGCCACACACCAAGCGAGAGCGTATTGCGTCGGCCTGGTGCTCCTCCTCCTCCTCCTCCTCCTCCACCACCTCCTCCGTCTGTTTCCAGGTGCGCGCAGGCATAACTACATTCTCGAATCCGGCGTTCGTTCAAAGATGTGGGTCTGGAACCTCTCTGGGGCCCCAGGTCTGACCAATATCGGCGCATCCCCCCAAAAGCGCCGACGAAGGTATCGGCGGAGTGATTTCAATCGGTCGGAATCTCGCACGCATCACTCATCTGACTTCCTCCTCGCTGTCGCGCCAGCAGACGTGTCCGTCGGCCGGGGCCGTCGCTTCGCCTGAGACTTCACACTCTACTGCGTATCCGGAGGTTACAGAATCCAGCGGTTAGACGGATGCAGGGCTACTTGTTCTGAAATGCGTCTCTCGCCTTGGCGACGCGCGTGCTCAGTTTTTCAAAGTCCGGCAGGGAGAAAGATGGAAGACGGGTGGACCTAAAAATCTGTTTCTCGCCGGAGCGCGGCACACATTCGTCTCAACATCGGCCAGCAGCCTACACGGATGAAGGTTGGCACCTCCAAACCCATGCCACCACAAACGCACAGCTCTGCAGCAGCTGCAAGGACAGAGAACGATTCTTCCTCATGATGATGATGATGATGATGATGATGATGATGATGATGATGATGATGCTGATGATGATGATGATGATGATGATGATGATCATGATGATGATAATGATGATGATGCTGCTGATGATGATGATGCTGATGCGATTCTCTCTCAAAGGGGGACTCTCGTCCGACATTTGCCGTGGGGCTTGCGGGCAGAAGCGCGAACGTGCGCAGCGGCTACACGGACGCCTGATAATTCCTGCGGTGAGGGCGTTGGCTAAGGAACCTTGGATTCCGTCGTTGGTCTGTTACTCGTTGTCGGTTGGGGTGCGCGGTATTTTCGAGGCACTTCAAGCCCGCCCCATGCTGAATTCACTGATTCCTCCCAACTGTGTAAACACCCTGCCCTCTGTACCCCCCTCCTATAGAACTGCCTCACAACAGAGGGGCACTGGATTCCAAAAGGAACCATCAGATGGGGAGTCCCCAGGGTCTGGAAGCCAGTGGGGCTCCACTCGTCGACTGGCCATGGATATCACCCCCGCCCTGATTGGTTTGGACGCCCGCAATGGCCTCCTTGGCGCATGCCTCAGCGAACGCCCCCGCCGTACTCAGGGCCTTGGTGGGCCCTGGAAACGGCAGGGTCGTTTTTGTACAGGTTCCGTTCTGCAGTTTTTTCGCCGGTTCCGACGCCGTTTTTTACCGGCTCCGTCGCCGTTTTTTGACCGGTTCTAGCTCCAAATCCAATCCTGGAGCCGTTTTTTTGTGGTTTCCGGTCGCCGTTTTTTTTGCCGTTCCCATTTTGAGAGGGCATTTTTCTGGAAACAGTGAAAAACGCCCCGGGGCGCGGGCAGCCGCTGGGCGCGGGCTGCCGCTGGGCCCGTCCTTGGCAGCGCCAGCCCCCCGCCCTGGTCGGATGCCCCGCCCCGCCGTCGCTCGGGCGTCCACGCCTCCCCGTGCCTATATGTTGTCGCCTTCGCGCGCGTGCACTTCGCTCGCCAGGTGACAGAAAAGGGAGGAGGAGGAGGAGGAGGAGGAGGAGGAGGAGGAGGAGGAGGAGAAGGCAGGAGGGAGGAGGAGGAGGAGGAGGAGGAGGAGGAGGAGGAGGAGGAGGAGGAGAATGAGGAGGAGGAGGAGGAGGAGGAGGAGGAGGAGGAGGAGGAGGAGGAGGGCTCCTCGATGACCCCCGCTGGGGGGCTCAATGCACACGTCCCAGCGCCGCCAGGCCACCGCTCGAGGCCGCGGAGGGCGGTGCCCCGCGGGGCGCGGGGCTCCCGCCCTGAGTGGCGGCGGGCCCGGGGCACCCGCGGGAGGCTCGCCCTTCAAGGGGGGGGGGCGCCTCGCGCAGGGGAGCAGCAACGCTCGCGGGGACGGAGGTCTCGCCATCGCTCGGGCGCCCAATTCCCCGTGCACTCGCCGATTTTTCGCGCGCGTAGTTTTGTTCGCAGGATGTCACCCGCTTGGAACACATCCCTACCCTTCTGCTGGGCATCACCTCGTCACGATGCCGATCTCAGGGATTCCCTTCGTTTCTGAGGGCGCAGCCCTAAGATTGTCCTCGCCTTTTCGCGTGTCAATCTTAGGGATAGGGATAAGTTCGAGACTGGTGAGGATGGCCCAGAGAAGGCTCCTCGATGGCCCTCGCCGAGAAAACAATGCTCACGTCCGAGCGATGCCAGGCGGTGGGGAGGGGACTTGGGACGGGGGGGTATGTTGCAGCACCGTTGATACGTCTCGGTTCAGGACCTCCTGGGAGCCTTTCCTGGTCACCGGAGTGGCCGCAACGGCTGCTCCAGCGGCCCCCGGTGTCCGCCAGTGGCCCAGGGTAAGCCTCCAGTGGCCTCCAGCGGTTCATCCGGGGCTCGCCGAGACTTCTCCGGTGGCTCCTCCAGTGGCTTCTCAAATGGCACCTCCAGTGGCCTCCAAGCGAAGAAGGGCGCTGAGCCCCTGCGAGGCCGCTAGCCAGCAAACGAAGCAAACAACGAAGGATGGGGAGAAAGAACAGCGAGCAAAGGGAAGAATGGACGCCACTAGTGATGAGTGGGCCCCCCAGACAACCACTGCAGGCCACTGGAGGCGCAGGAAACTCAAAGGAAGTGCCAATCAAAGGCGCCCAGGATACTCTTTAGGGTTTGTCATGGCCAACCTCCTCCTCCTCCTCCTCCATCTCCTCCTCCTCCTCCTCCTCCTCCTCCACCTCATCCTTTTCGTATTACCCTCCCTCCTTCTCCCCCTCCTCCACCTCCTCCTCCTCCTCCTCCTCCTCCTCCTCCTCCTCCCCCTCCTCCTCCTCCGGGAGACTGGATACGTGTGCGGATGACCCTGGGCAAGCGTGACCTTTGGTGCGCGGCTCGCCGATCGCTGAATGCGGTACGGCAACACCGGCCCGCGTGCCTGGGCTCGCTCACCCCGCCCACCCACATCCGCCCACCGCGCCCTCCGAAAGCCGTGCGCCAAAGGCCGCTGCCGCGAAGGGTTGCGTGAGGGTCCCTTCTCTGAGGCGAAGACGGTCCCAGCGTCGACAACACCTGAGCCGAGAGGGGAGCGGATGAGGAGAGGCAGGAGGCGTGAGAAGGCAGACACACACACACACAGAAGGGCCACTGCTGAGTGCAGACGCGGAGGCGGGAGGGAACAGAAGGCCGTAAGGCTGGCGGCCAGGCGGCCGCCGGCCCAGCCGGGAAGGAATCCTCCTCGCCGCCCAACTCTTCGAAACCCATGCGCAAGTAGAACTGCACCAGCGCCTGCGCCGCGCGCCGCGGTCGCCCCGGCCAGCAGCGACCAGCGAGCAGCGACGAGGAACGAGGATGAGGATGGCGGCGGCGGGGGCTGCGACGGCACCAGCGCTTCCGACACGCGTCGTGGTCCGCCTGGCTGGCGGCGAGCAGGGGTTGGGGGGAAGGGAGGGAGGGTCGAATTCTGTCCATCTTGTTTCGTTGGGTTCTTCATCCTGGTGTTGGGGATGCTCGTTTCTGGGCCCCAGGGCCATCCAACATTGTCCTGGGAGGGAGCGGGGCATGCTGCGGCCCTGTTTACGCATGGATGCGGAAGAGACCCATGGCTGTCTGGTTTAAGGAGAGCCCTACAGGCGCCGAGCGACAGACAACCTGGCCACGCTACCTATTCCTTGCAGCCCCTCGCCAGTCAGATATTATTTGAATCTCGCGCGCTCAAGCCGAAGATCTGGCAGACGCGGAAAGACTCCATTTTTGTGTCGGGGAGGGGCTGGATCAATCAACGTTGAATCGGGAAATCGGATCCGGCTGCATCGGCACAGGGCCGACATCGAATTGGATCGGCCGCGCCAGGATGTACAACCAGCACCATGCAAACATCGGGCCGCATCGCATCACCGGACCGGCCGAATCGAACCGGATCGTACCGGCCAGGGTCGATACCGGGTCGGATCGACCGGATCGAATCTGGAGGGAAAGCAAACGAGGACCACGACCAAGGCTGGACGCGAAAGCGTCGGTGCCGATCCTGGTCGCATTCCATCCTGTTCGCTGGCGATTCGTGGATCATTCTCGCGAATCGGCGAAGGCCGGTGCGGACCATTACCGAGATCGGCATGGACAAGATCCCGCGACATCTTGGTCATGCTCGGCGTAGTCCTGCCCTCGAGAGGGGGGCCCTGGAAGGGGCGCGCGAGGGTCGCCGCGCAGCTGCCAGCCGCCGCGCGGTGCGCAAAGAGAGGGAGAAAGACGGGCGCGGGGACAGGCATTGGGCGCGGATGAATGGGGGGCAACAAATAGGGGGGGGGGGGGCGGGGCAGCGAGGGCTGCAGAAAGGGGCTCTCCAGGGCTTCTCAACGAGCTCTTCGCGGCGCGAGAAAGGCACCTTCTTTCCCCCCCGATTGATCGCCCCCCCCCCGCAGCAGTTCGCGCCCAGAGGCGCCGCTGGCCAGCCCGCGCGTTGCAGCCCGCCGCCAGGCCCGCGCAGCCAAGACTCACAGGGAGCGCGGGCGTCAATGCAGTTTGGCCCTTACACAAAAAAAACCTTCTACGAGAAGCCCAACCCTGAGACCCCAGGTTGTCCATCGGTTTTTGGCGTGAGAACCTCATGCTTTCCATGGCGAAACCATCGAAAGCCAAGAAGCCCAGGGCACCCTGGAGGCAAGCAGGGTGTTTCTTGGCATGGCTCCCCAGTATACTCACAAGGAGCACGGGCGTCAACATCCCCGACGCCGGCGCAGTGCTCGCAGGGGGCGGAAGCGGGGCGCGCGAGAGCCCCGGGGCTCGTCCAAAGCCCCAGGCCCTAGGCAGGCCCTGGCCGACAGCAGCTCGCCCACCCAAACCACGTAAAGGAGGTCCTGCGAGCCCCACCCGTCGGCGAGCCTGGTTCGTCAGCAACAGGACGTGGCACTATCGCAGCAAGACCCTGTCTCCCAGCAGCATGCGCAGCAGACCACTCTCCAGGCGGAATCCAGGCAGCCATCCGCAGGGACCCTAAGCTTCAGGTCTTGCTGAGGAGGAGGTCCTGCGAGGAGGAGGCGAAGACGGGCGTGGGGGGGGGCCGTCCCGTCTGCAATCCACCTGCTCCCCCCTGCCCAGGCCCCAGCGCCGCGCGGCTGGTGCCGCGGGGGCCCCCTGCACGTCGGACAGGGGATCGAGGCGCGGAGCGACGGCGGTGATGGGTCGTGGAGGGGGAGGAACGGGGGGGGGGCAGCATCGGCAAGAGCAGCGCGCCGAGGGACAAGCGGAGAAGGAGGGGGTGGGAAAGGGCCCACCACTCTCGAAGGCACCAGACAGGCGCGTCATCTGATCGCGACTGGAGAGATCGTGGCGGGCGGGGCTGGGCGGAGAGGCGGCTGGCTGGTGAGGGAGGCGAGCAGAGCAAAACGGGTAGGGGAAGGCGACCGATGGGGCACAGCTTTGCGGCGCGGCGAGCTCACTGCAGGGCATTCCGAGGGCGCCCCCAACTCCTGACCCAGACGGCAAGGTCGCGCTCGGATAGCGCGCCACCGAAGAAGACGAAGCAGAAATCCTTGCACACGGAGGAATCGAGCGAGACAGCGCGACAGGCCGAGAAGGAGGGCACCGCCGCGAGGGAGACGGCCTCCAAGAAGAGGAGGCAGGGTCAGCGTCCGCCAGGGGACAGGGCGGAGCACCGCCAGGAGGGGAGCCCGGGGGCGTCACGATCAGCGTCGACGGCGTCGAGTGCGCCGAGTCGGAAACCGTCGGGGCGAGGCGCGGCGTGCGACGCGCCGAGCAAGAGCGCCTTCTGCCAGACGACGCCGAAGGAGAGCGCGAGCAAGTCGGCGAGGTCGGAGGCGTGATCCGCCACGCAGGCAGAGGCGAAGACGGAGCCACCGAAGACGAAGAAGACGACGACGAGGAGTCGTCCACCACCGCGTCGCGCGCCGTCGCCAGACTGAGAGACTGGCGCTCAGCGAGAGAGGCCCGAAGCGGGGCCGCCATGCGCACGGCGCGAGCGCCAGCCAGCGCGCAGCTGAGCGTCTGCTCGGGCGTCGCCGGCCATGCTGGGATAGTCTTCGCCGCGTGGCAGGCGCCGTAGACAGCGGCCATCGCCGACGCCGCTGCGAGAGACGGCGGCACCAAAGCCCACCGCTCGAGCAGCGGGAGCTGGAAGGCACGGGCCAGCGCCTGGCGCAGCGCCCGACGCAGAGGACGGCAACGGGCGCAGTGCCGCAAGGCATAGATATCCACGGATCGGGGAAGGCGCCCCCGAAGCACGAGGCCACTGCCGCCTCATGGGGGCGACGGGGCGCGCCGACTCCGCATGGCAACGGATTTCCCGCCGCTGCTCCGCGCGCCTCCATCCGTGCCTGCGCTCCCTCGTGAGCGTCCCGTGTGAGCCTTGAAGGGAAACTGGGACACACAAATAAAGACACACAAATAAAAATATTCCCCATATTTTTCCATATTTTCTGGGTTTCTGTCTCTCCCCCACACTTCCCATATTTTCCCATAGTGTCCTGGGAGGCGACGATTAATTGTGTCTGTGTGTTTTTTTCCCTCCTGAAGCCTCAGGGCCGGTCATTTGGAGCGGCCGAGGGGCCGGCAGGGTGCGGCCAGCAGCCCTGCCCTCGTCAGCACGGCGGCAGGCCTCGACGAAGCAGACGCCGGCTGTACAGGCGGCGCGTTCCGACGTCTTCTCGGGAGGCGCACGGTCCAGCAAGAGACGGCCCGCCACCGCCGTGCCGAGCAACATCGCACCTGCACTTTTTGATTCCCGGCTCGAGGGCGCACCTCTTCCGGTCGAAGCTAAGCGGGCCGCGCAGAGCCTGAATTACGCAGAGGAGGGGGAGGAGAAGGGGGGCGCAGCCTCAGAACGAGGCCGGGCAACATCGCACCTAGACGCAGAGGACGACGTAACCTGCTGAGGCCCGGGGCTGTCCTGCCCTCCCCGAGCCTGTGCCAGCGCGCGGGCTCCTGGCCAGCAGCGCCTGCGCGGGGCGAGGAGGGGGCACGCGGGGGCGGCAGCCTGGGCCTGCGAGGGGCCTGGCGGGCGGGAGGCCAGCCTCATGCTGCTCCCGTCGGACTGAAGGGCCACGTCCCAGAATAGTTAATCTCGAGCACCCAGGAGAGTATCGAAACAAGGTCGAACGAGCATCGCCCCCCAGGGCCCGACGCGTGAAAAGCCGCCGGTGTCGGTGCTTCCTTCGTGCTCGGAATGAGTAGTTGGCGATCGAGGCTGCAGCCGCCTGGAACACAAGAAGGCCAGCCACCCTGCCCTGCCTGGAGAGCGGTGCGTATCGACGGTCGGCGACGGCCCGCAACGGCTCTGAGCTGTCGGGCGCGCGCGCGCTCCAAGCACCGAGGGGGGGGGGGGCAGAGGACGCGCGCGGGCGCACGGCACGAGCTGTCAACGGCCGCTGCCTCGCGCGCGCGTGCGCGCCAAGCGTCGCGCGCCACCTCCGAGAGCCAGGGTCCTGGAGCGCCCCTGGGTGCCGAAGACGGCCGCTCGACGGCGGGGGGGGGGGAACACAGGGCTGGCGACCCCCTTCCCCTGGTCAAGTGGAGGGACACAGGGCAGCATGATCGTACACTCTCGGAGGTCCGAACGCATCTCTTGGGACGGCGCGGGTCCCCCCCTCCCTGGCACGCGAAGCGCGCCCGGGGCGGCGCTGGAGGCGCCGCCAGGGGGGCCGCAGCGGCGATCCAAGAAATCCGCGCGGACCGTCGAAAGTTGTTTGATTGTGCATGTGTTCACCTCCTCTTGTGATTCGTAGGTTTCTTCTGAGCTTTCTTCTTCGAAGGGCGGAGACAGAAGGTGAGTGATCCCCATTTCCGTGAGCAGGACCAGTCAACACCGAATCGGGAACTCGGATCGGATCGGAACATGCGTCGGGTCGGGCCGCATCCGAAAATGGAGCGGACATCGGGTCGGAGAGCCTTCTCCGTGCCGAAGAGCTCGGCGGTGTTGATGGGCGGAGGCAGCTTGGTCCCGAAGTCGTGCGGTATGAGGGTGTAGTACCTCGGCAGGGGAGGCCATCCTTCTCCCATCCTCCACCTCCTCCTTCACCTCCTTCTCCTCCCCCTCCCATCCTATTGTCCTCCCGTCCTCCTCCTCCTTCACCTCCCTTGCGATCCAGGCGTTGCATCCTGTTTCGCAACGGGTGCTTCGCGATGTTTTTGTTCTCGCCGCGTCGGACCTCGGGTTTATTCATCTTCCTATTCGATTTTGCAACACGCGCACAACATGCGCACTCCTCTCCTCGCTCCCCAAAGAGGTCCTCAGAGTGGCGCGCCCCCCTCCGACAATGGTTTTTTGCACGCAGGATTTGTCTGATGTGATGTGTCTGAGGTGCTTTTCCAAGCCGGACGCTTTCGGTCCTTGCAAAAAAGGCGTTCCCGCTTCTGCGTGGGCCTCATTTCGGGATCGGCGTTTTGCTCCCGTCGTTCAGAATGGCGCTCTCGCCTCAGCGCGGCCCGTTTTTCTGGATCCGAGTCCTTCCTCATCAATGTCGCCGCCCTCCGTTCCTGTCCTCCGCCCTCCCCAGGTCACCCTGCTCCTCCCGCTCTTTCCACTCCAGCCCCTGCTGCTGCTGCTGCTGTTCGTCCTCGTTCCCCTCCTTCCTCGTCATGGCTTTCCTTCTGCTCATCCTCCTGCTCATCTACCACCTCCTCCTCCTCCTCCTCATCCACTGCCTGCAGCTCTCTTGTTCTCCGATTGCGCACGAAACCATCGGGTCCCTGTTGGAGTTCCACGTCCGCTATGGCACGCGTCGCCGGATAGAGAAAGTATCAACGCAATAGGAAGGGCTGGGTAGGAGGGCTATGACGGCAGATATGGCGCGAGCGCGCCTAGCTTGCCTGTCCCTCCTCTCCCTCCTCCTCGCCCTCCGCCCCCTCCCGCCTCCCCCTTCTCCCTCCTCATACAACGCTGAAGAGTTACACATGTGAGCGGCGCGTCGGTGTCAAAAGCGGCGCTCGCCCGAATGCCGCGCCCATTCATGGTATCACTTCCCATTAACTGCAGCGATGGAGGGCCGGCGTTTGCAACATGTCTCTCGCCTCGGCATTCGCCTGATAGCCCCCAGCAATCACAATGCTGGATGCGAATCATTTTCGAAGTGCGGGTCTCGGCCCAGCGCCTCGCAAATTCGTTTGGGCGGCGGGTGGAGGGCGGGTGGGGGGCGGCTCCTCTGCAAGTGGGGCTCGCAGTTGTCTCCTGGTCCTCCGGCCGCGCACCAGAAGGGCCCTAGTCACTCTTCGGCCCCCGCTCCGCAGCCCTTGATCGATCGAGCGACCACGGCGGAACCGCCGACGCCGCCGCCGAGGCCGACGCCGCCGCACAGTGCGGCCGGCGCCGCTGGGGCCCCTCGGCGAGGAGACCAGCGCGGCTGCCCGCAAAGGGTGGCTCTGTAGGCACGGGTGGCCCCTTAGCGCGCGCGGCCTGACCGTTTTTGCGGCGCTGCGGTGCGGCAGGTGGGTACCCGCGTGCCTGAGCTTGGCCTTCACCCCCCCCTCTCGATTACGGTCAAGGCATTGGATGAGGAACCAGTGGGTAAAGAGTCCAGGTCTCGAAGCCACTGGGACTTCGATCGTGGATTGGCCAGGGGTATCACCGCCGCGCCTATTAGAGAAGGAAGCCCTCAGGGTCTGAAGCCTCCTGGGGACATTCCTTCACCAACGCCCCCACCGTATCCTCAGGGCGTGGGTTAGCGCCAATGTGTGTTTGTCCACCGAAGCCCTTCAGCACGACGCGCGCACGGTACAACGAGGGCCGATGCGTGCTGCATGCGATCGGCGGAGCTGAACGGCGCAACGCGCACACAGAGGCGGCGGCGGCAGAGGGTACTGCTCCAGCGATTGGGCATCAGCGGGGCGCGCTAGATGCAAATTTGGCCGCCTTGCGCGAGGGAAGAGGAGGAGACCCCGGCGCATATCGACGGGAAGAGAGGAAGCCGGGCCCGCTCAGGCAAGTCCCGGCTGCAGCGGGGCGGGCGCCAGGGGGGGAGCCAGCAGCAATACACACATACACACTCTCTCTCACACACAATTCGCTCACACACGCCGCTCGCCAGAGTCCACTCCCGCGAAAGGCCACTCCTACAGTCAGCGCAGACACACGCGATAAAAAAATACCCTGCTAAACGAGATGTTGGGCAACATCTTTCGCCGATGGCTTTGAAGAAGGTGCCCCAGTGTTCTGCGGGCCCGTGGGGCCACTGGGCCATAGGACACTTCTGTGGTGTGGGGCACCTGCTGGCAAGCTGGTTCCTTATCAGATGCGCCCACTGTGCGTGCACGGTGCCAGAAGCCCCCGCCGACCTCACTCTTTTTACTCGTACTCTTCTTCTTCCTCCTCCTCCTCCTCTTCCTCTTCCTCCTCCTCCTCCTCCTCTTCCTCCTCCTCCTCTAAAAATGCTGGCGCCTCAATCTTACTTCCGCCGCCCTCTGCCGACCTCCCCGCCAGAGGGGCCGCCCCCGTTCCCTGGCATCCGCCGACGTTTTTCTTGTCTGCTGTTTTTCTTCATCACGCGGCCCCAAAGGTCCCGACCGCTGCCTCGGGGGCATGTTTTCGCCTCCGATCCGCGTTTGATGGTCCCTGGGTTCACTCACTGGCCCCAAAGGCCGAAATACAGGGACAAAAACGTCCCGAAAGAAACACTCACGTCGTCGGATATATATATATATATATATATATATATATATATATATATAGATGGTTTTGCTCGCTTCCGCCAGCCTCAAGGGCCGGGAGAATCCAGCCCTGGCGACGACGGCTCTCCAAGACGCAACGCGGCATCGGTACCCTTCCTCCCCCGACCCTCGGCCTTCCGCCGGCCTCCCGCCGAAGGGCGCGGGGTGCGCCGCAAGAGGGCGACGAACCCCCCTCCAAGGAGCGCCGCTGCGCGCAAGGCCGACCACTGGGGACGCCGGGTCGGCCAGGGCACCGCGCGTCGGAAGGCCGGCCGGCCGCCTGGTAGCCCCCAGTTTTAAGCTCGGGTCAGCCAGCGGGGGGCTGGCTGACCCCCGCTGGCGCTGGCCCCCGCTGTGCACGTGAGCCCCAGTCGACCAGAATGCGCTCTGCGCCAGGGCGCCGCCAGCGCGGCCCGCTCGCGCGCGGCGCGCAGCGCGTGCGAGCGGGAGGCGGAGGAGGGGAAGGAGCGGGAGAAGGAAGGAGGAGGAGGAGGAGAAGGAGGAGGAGGAGCAATGGAACTATGGGTATGGCGACAGTGTCGGTTACTATGAAAGCAGCTGTTCCCCCGCTGCTTCATGCCTCGACATCTTGGCTCGTTCTGCTTGACTGAGAACCGCTGGCCAAATGCAGCGGCTGATAGCATTGACGCACTCGGTATGATTACCTGACACAACATTGGCACAGTCACTTCCGAGCTTACACAACTGCTGAGATGCGTAACTACAAACATGAGACTCTTATACATCGAGGTGACTGACAGACACGAGCGTCCATGCACAGACGATGCGAGTCGGACGTGCGAACCTGACCTTTAATTACCTGCTGCGGGACACCGTGCCACCTCACGAGTAAAATGTGCACCCTATTGCCATGCCCACCGCCACACGAAGACAATGGAACCGAATAGCTCATTGAATTGCAAGACGACAGCACAAGAGAGACATTCCCCTGTCATCGTGATGCTGAAGGGAACCAACATGGACTTGCACCTGCGCGGCACAAGCAGTACGCGACGATGGTTCCAGAAAGCCTGACCAACCTGCCGGCAACACCTGAGGAGTGCCAGGCCGTGAACTACCCTGCATATATCTCATAAAATGCATGCGCCCAGACCAAAGCAATAAGGCAACTGACACAAAGCTCCCCTCATGTGCAGCGAGCAATTTCCTGTTGCTCCACTTGACTGTAAGGTGTGTTGTGCCGACAACGAAAAAGCTGTAACTCCCATCCAGGCTGCCCAAAAGATGACGGGATACGGCCAGCCGACTGGGGTATTGTTTGAAAAACACAAGCGCCCGCGGCACGTCCTCTCGCCTGCCGACTGAGACGGACCGTGCTGAAGAGCAGTAGGAAGGGATACAAAATGCCCAGCCTGCACCTTACCAGCACGACATGGGCGAAGTGTAACAACACCGCACGTGGCCTGCACCGCCAAGGTACTGCTGAGGAAAAAAATCGCCGAGCCTGACTTCTCCCCCTCTTAGTCACCCGCGGGGCGCGCCTGACCAGAATCATGAAACTCCAGAAGCAAGCTCGCCCAACCGGGGTGTCGCAAGATCGCGACAGCAACGCGGAGGGAAGGGCATGCCTAGAAACCGGCGAGCCAAAACAAATGGCAGCGGTCGCTCGGAGACCCTGATCTTGGAGGAGGAGGAGGAGAAGGGGGAGAAAGAGGAGGAGGAGGAGGAGGAGGGGAGGAGGAGGAGGAGGAAGGAGAGGAGGAGGAGGAGGAGGAGGAGGAGGAGGAGGAGAAGGCGGAGGAGGAGGAGAGGAGGGAGGCGGGAGGAGGAGGAGGGAGGGAGGGAGGGAGAGAGAGAGGGAGGGAGGGAAGGAGGAGGAGGCGGAGGCGGAGGAGGATGAAGAGGAGGCGTGGGAGGAAGAGGAGGAGGAAGAGGAGGAGGAGGAAGGTGGAGGAGGCGGTGGACGAGGTGGAGGAGGGGAGGAGGAGGAGGAGGAGGAGGAGGAGGAGGAGGAGGAGGAAGAGGCGGAGGAGGAGGAAAAGGAGGAGGCGCAGCAGGAGGAGGAGGAGCAGCAGGAGGAGGAGGACAAGGAGGAGGAGGACAAGGATGAGGAGGAGGAGGAGACCCAGTGCAAACCTAGGCTCACCAGCGATGTTGGAATACACTCTCCCTCCAGGCTCCCTTTTCGTAGACCCCGAGAGGTTTCATTTCCACTTAGGAAAATGCCCCATTTGAAGACAACCATTTGAAGATCCTGAAGCGTGCCAAAATACCATTTTCGGGACCCCAACGCAACGAATCAACCTGACAGGGTCGCCTTGACGATCCAGAAGCGCGCCCGAACGCTATCCGTGAGATTGCAACACCACGAATCAATGTAACTGTTGCGCCCTGGCAATCCTGAACCCTTCCAACATGCAGGCTCTGGTACGTTGGCAATGGGAAGCCGCAGCACTCTTGCAAATGTTAGCAGCGGTTGTGCGTGACGCTAAGGCGAGAGCCACATGTTGAAAAGTAACCGCCTCCGGCCCGTGAATCTCTTGCATATGTTTGAGACGAATGCGCGCGGCGGTGAGACGAACACGACATAGTGAAAACGACCCGCCCTCCATCCGTGAAGCCCTTGCACAGCTTAAAACGAATGTGCGCAAAGCTAGGGCGGGAGCAACATTTTCCCGCCCTCCATCTGTGAAGCTCCTACAGCTTGTTTACAAAGAGTTTGCGCGGCGCTAAGGCGAGAGCCACATGTTGAAAACCGCTTGCCCTCCATTTCTGGAACAGCCACAACCCATTAATAAGATTCAGGAACGTAAACGGTGAGGAAGTCTCCGGCAGAACGCCCGGCCAGCCCTTTCGACCAGCCTCGGGGTGCGATACGGATGCGCTCTTCATGAGGAAAAGGAGTCGAGGAGGGGGTGGATGGAGAGGAGGAGGAGGAGGAGGAGGAGGAGGAGGAGGAGGAGGAGGAGGAGGAGGAGGAGGAGGGAGGAAGAGGGAGCACGGAGGGAGGAGGGCGAAGAGGTTGAGGAGGAGGAACAGGAGGATGAAGAGGTGGAGGAGGTGGAGGTGGTGGAGGAGGAAGATGTGAAGGCGGAGGAGGAGGAGGAGGAGGGAGGAGGAGAGGAGGAGGAGAGGAGGGAGGAGGGAGGAGGAGGAAAGGGGAGATGGGGAAGAAGGTGGAGGAGGAGGAGATGGAGGAGCAGGAGGAGGAGGATAAGGAGGCAGTGAGGAAGAGGAGGAGAGGAGGAGGAGGAGGGAGGTGGAGGAGGGATGGAGGAGGAAGAGGGGGAGGAGGAGGTGGAGGAGGTGGGAATTGGAGGGAGAGGAGGCAGGTGAGGAGGTGGAGGAGGAGGTGGAGGATGAGGCGGAGAAGGATGTGGAGGAGGAGGCGGAGGAGGTGGAGGGAGGAGGAGGAAGAGGTGGAGGAGGTGAAGGTTGAGGGAGAGGAGAAGGGAGGGAGGAGGAGGAGGAGGAGGAGGAGGAGGAGGAGGAGGAGGAGGGTGGGAGGAGGAAGAGGCGGGCGGCTGAGCGCCGCGCTCCGCCGAGACGGCCATCAGCTGCGCGGAGCCCGGGTCCTCCCCAGCCTGCGGGGCCGCACAGGCCGCAGGCCGCAGGCCGCCGGCGACCGCCCTCGGCGGCCCGCCGCGGGCTCTCTCGCGGCCTCTCGGCGCCGCCCGCTCGCGCCGTGGGGAAAATACGCCAGGGCCGCGGAACAACGTTTGACGCAGAGGCAGTCCGCGCGCGCGCGCTCGGGCAAGCTGCGCAACGACGTCGCGAGTTGACTGGCAGCGAGAATGGGCAGAGCAGGGGAGCAAGCGGCCGCGGGCGAGGGGGGTGGGAGGAGGGAGCTGGGCTTGGGCGCGACTTGAAGGGGGGGCGACTGTATGGGCGGGGGAGAGAGGTGCCTTTCTCGGGCCCCAAAGGCTCCCCTTGGGGCCCTGAGGGGCCCCTTCAGAGGCCCGACAAGGGCCCCTTCTCGGCAGCCCTCGCTGCCCCCCCACTTCTCGTCCCCTATGACGCGCCCAGGGGCAGTTTCCGGCCCCTGGGGGCCCTGGCTGGGCCCCGGGACCCTCCAAGAAGCGGCGCGGGGGGGAAAACACGCCCCAGGGAAAGGGGCGGGACTGCCCGGGCACCCCGCAATGAAAAAAACAAACCATCGCATGTCTGGGGGCCTCCTCCTCCCTCGGGGGGGGCCCACCTCCCTCGGGGGGGGGCCCAATCGTCGCCGCCACGGCCAGACCCGCGCTCCGGAGAGGCCCGCAGGGTCGTCGTCGTCGTCGTCGCCGCCGTCGTCGTCGTCGTCGTCGTCGTCGCAGCATTCGTCGTCGCAGTCGTCGTCGTCGTCTTCGTCGTCATCAACACCGCCTTCGTCGTGGTCGTCGTCGCTGCCCTCGCCGTCGCCGTGGGCGTGGCAGTGGCAATGGCCGTTGCCGTTGCCGTGGCCGTCGCCACCGCTGCCGCCGCCGCCGCGGCCGTCGTGGTCGTTGTCGTCGTCGTTGTCGCATTCGTCGTCGCAGTAGTCGTCGTCGTCGTCGTCGTCGTCGTCGTCGTCGTGGTCGTGGTCGTCGTCGTCGTCGTCGTCGTCGTCGTCGTCGTCGTCGTCGTCGTCGTCGTATCCGTCGTATCCGTCGTATCCGTCGTCGACGTCGACGTCAACGTCGGCGTCGGCTTCGGCATCGCCGTCGTGATCGGTCGACGTCGTCGTCGTCGTCGTCGTCGTCGTCGTCAGCGCCGTCGCCGTCGTCGTCGCGTCGCCGTCGTCGTCGTCGGCCCGCGCGCGAAGCGGGTCGGCAGGCGCCCGGCAGGCTCGAGCGCGAGCCGCGGTGGCGACCACGTGCCACGCAGGCAGGTGCACGGTGCACAGTGAGAGGAGGAGGAGGAGGAGGAGGAGGAGGAGGAGGAGGAGGAGGAGGAGGAGGAGGAGGAGGAGGAGGAGGAGATGGTGAGGTCGTTGGGGACTGAGGTGGTTTGCTGTTGCTGCTTCTTCGCGACAGCGCCGGCCTCAGACGTTTGTCTCGCAGACTCGTGTTGGAGTGCACGGCGGCGCCGGCAAGCGCGCGGCAGGGGGTGCCCACCAGATGTCCCGATCCCCCGCCACAGATCTGACTTTGTGGCGGCGCCGCCATGCACGCATGGAAACATACACAGATTCGCCTTGATCCCCAGTCGCCCCATTTCCGCGGTGATTCTGTGACCAGGCGCAAACGATAGGATGGTTTTGGTTAGGCACCATCGAGCGCCACGTTATGAAGCATCCACTGGTCACAAGTGCTTCGCTGTCACGCCGCCGAACGGGATTCCACCTTGTGTAGTACACGAAGTCCCCTGTTGAGCACCGAGAACGGTGCTCCGAAACTCGAAAGCAACGTCACCCCCTCTATCAAGCGACGCCTGGCCAGGCGCAGGAATGTCAGCATCTGATTACAATAAGGAGATAATCGGAGGTTGGGGGGTGAGATTGCAATGGAACGGAGACCCCCAGCTGGGAAATCGTTTCGTTTCGTTCGTGTCGCGCGTGCGGGCGAGGCGAAGCTGCGTGGGCGAGCGAGAGGTATGAAGTTCATACTATGAACCCACCGGTGCTAAGGCGAAAACAAGACAAATGATTCTCCCCCTCCCGCCCGCCCGTCTGGCGGTGGCTCGCGGTGTCCCGTGGTGTCCCGTGGTGTCCGCCGTTGCTAGGGCGAAAACAAGATAAATGATTCTCCCCCGCCCGCCCGTCCGTCCGTCCGTCCGGCGGTGGCTTGCGGTGTCCCGCGGTGTCCCGTGTTGTCCAGTGGTGTCCGATGGTGTCCTATGGTGTTCCGTTGAGTGAGGTCGATAGTGAGAACAATAGTGAGATCGATAGTGAGTTCGATTTGGTGCCCCGAGGTGTTCCGTGGTGTCCCATGGTGTTCCTCAAAGTGAAATTGATAGTGAGATCGACAGGTGTCCCGTAGTGTCCCGTGGTGTCCCAAAAAATGAAATCGATAGTGAGATCGATAATGAGATCGATGTGGTGCCCAGAGGTGTCCCGTGGTGTCCCAAAACATGAGACCGATAGTGAGATCGATAGTGAACTCGACAGGTGTCCCGTGGTGTCCCGTGGTGTCATGTGGTGTCCCGTTGACTGAGATCGATCGTGAGATCGATGTGGTGTTCTGCGGTGTCCCGTGGTGTCCTATGGTGTCCCGTTGAGTGAGATCGATAGTGAAATGGATAGTGAGACCGATCATGAGATCGAGACGTGTCCCGCGGTGTCCCGTGGTGTCCTGTGGTGTCCCGTTGAGTGAGATCGATCGTGAGATCGATTGTGATATCGACAAGTGTCCCGTGGTGTCCCGTGGTGTCCCGTTCAGTGAAATCGATAGTGAGATCGATTGAATCCGATGTTGGTCCCCCCCTCTCCCCCCCACACAATCTCCTTATCACCCGAAGGGTGGTTGTATAGGTATCAGAACCTTGCTGTAAGAAATCTAGGGCCACGTCATTCGCTAACTCTTCACTTCGTAAGGTGCTGCCCCAGGGTTCCGCTGACCCATCGGGCGATAAGGATTCCTCTTTGTGCACCTGTCGGCAGGCCAGTCCCTTATCTGGTGTGCGTCCTGTATGCAAGGCTGCTGGCGCGCCACACTTGGGGGGCGCGGTGTGCAGTGCGCAAGACAAGTAGAAAGAACAGGGCATGGAAGGGGGGATCCATGCACCAAGGCGCATATCTTCCTGCGCGCCGCAAAAAGTCACCTTACCGTCGGGCCGCTGAGAAGGGAACGAGGCCCCTTCTCGGCTCTCAAAGCGCCTCCGTGCCCGAGGAGGGCCAGGCGTGTCCTCCGACAGGCGGATCTTGGGACGAAAAAGTGCACTTCTCGAAAATAGTCAAAAAAAAACGTCCCCAGAGGACTATTGCTCACTGCTTGTGAACACTCCTCTTGTAGAGGGACAGGCCCGACTTCAACCTAGGGGGCATCGAGCCCCTTCCGAACCCAACTTGGCAATCCATCTCAGCGGCTTCGCGCTGCAGGCCGCAGGAGCAGGGAGCGACCGGTGGTGGGTCGCGCTCGCCGTCTGCCCCGGGGGTATCTGCCACCGACGGCCGCCGAGGGCGCCCGAGGAGGCGGCTTCGCGAACCCGCGCCCCCAGACTCTCTCTGCGTGCGCCTGGAGAGGGGGGCCAGGAAGCGGGGGCGCGCGCAGCATGGCCCGCTCCCTCCACGCCCTCTTTCGGCCGCGTCCTGCTCCCTGGTCTCCCTCTTTTGCATGGTGGCAGAATCCGCTCTAGCGGCACCCCCGTTCAGGCCTTGCCGCTCGCGCAGACGACCCCTGCCGCGCTGCCGACCCCAAAAGTGTGCACGAGGTGGGGGCCGGTGAACGCGGCGGAAGAGCAGGAGGGGGCCACGAGTTCTGGGAGGCATCAAGGCCCTGGTCACGACACGCACCACCTCATAGTGCTCCACCCTCTCCAACGCCCCCGGCAAGACGCGCCGTCGATGTTCCGTCTCGGGATGCTCGGTGGGGATGCCTGACCTTGCGGTGGCCACCTTTCCGCAGCAGGAACGCCCACGGGGCGTGCGACCCCTCCAAGCCCTACAGTCTTCGCGCTACCACAAGGCACTCAGAATAAGGTGCGAAGGGGCTTGTCTGCATACCGCGAGCCTCGGCCACGGACAACAGGGCGAGGGGGCCGAACGCTCATTCACTGTCCCTGGGTGCGTGGCTACAGTCAGATTCCGCGATGCGGATTCGTGTTGTTGTTGTTGTTGCTGTTGTTGCTGCTGTTGTTGTTAGTGTTGTTGTTCGTGTTGTTGTTCGTGTTGTTTGTTGTTGGTGTTGTTTGTTGTTGCTGCTGCTGCTGTTGCTGTTGAACTCTCACTTCTGGAAATAATTAGTGTTGATCCCCCCGCCCGGTGCACAGTGTATGTTTCGATTGAAGTGCCCCCGCCTGGGGTTCGCACCCTGTTTTTTATCCGGGAAAGTCTTGAGGGTCAAGCTGTGTCGTTGGCCCCCGTCTTACAACAACAACAACAACAACAACAACAACAACAACAACAACAACAACAACAACACAAACAACAACAACAACAAGAACGGCTCCCACCTGATACTTCCTCACAATGTATTGAAGAATCGCGCTCTCGCTTATGACATCCTAACAATTTACCACCGGATCGCGGCTCCCGCCTGATACTTCCTGACAATGTATTACACAATCGCGTTCTCGCTTGGGATTTCCTTGCAACTTACCACCGTGATATTTCATCACAATGCATTCAGATGCCAGTCCTCGACGCTCAGGACTCGCGCTCCCGCTACAGATTGCCAGGCGGGTCAAGTAGGACTCACGCTTCCACGACCCGCCCGCTCGACCCGCCCGTCGGGGCCTGCCCGCCCGACCAGCCCGTTAATGACTGCAGTCGCCGCTCGCTGCCCTTCACCTGCCTTCAATGCCCCTCGCTGCCCGTACTGGTTCCGCGGTCACCTTTGCTCGCTGCCCTTCGTGGCCCCGTTGCTGCCCTCAGTGGTCCCGTCGCTGCCCTTTGTGGCCCCGCATTCTACTTCCTTCGTGGCCCCCGCTCGCACGCGCCCGCCGTGGCCCCATACGCATGCCCTTCGTAACCCCGCTGTAGCCCTTCGTGGCCCCCTCGCTGCCCTTCGTGGCCCCTTTGCTGCCCTCAGTGGCCCCGCTGTCGCCCTCTGAGGCCCCGTATACGAATACCCTTCGTGGCTCCCGCTCGCTGGCGCACGTCGTGGCCCCATATGCATGCCCTTCGTGGTCCCTCTGTCGCCCTTTGTGGCCCCCTCGCTGCCCTTCTTGGCCCCGGTGCTGCCCTCAGCGGCCCCGTCGCTGCCCTCTGTGGCCTCGGATATTATGCCCTTCGTGGCCCGCGCTGGCTTTTCTGAAGATAAACTTGGGAATCGCGCTATCGCTCGAGACTCCCTCGCGATTCATGCAGGACCCACGCTTCAGCAACCCGCCTGCTCGACCTCGTCACCTGGGCCCGCCTTCCTGATTTGCCCACCCGATTTGCCCGTCTGTTTCTACCACTTGTTTTCTGCTCCTTGCCCACCTCCTGTTGATTTCTCTCGTGCTCCATTCTTCTCCATCCCCCTTCCACCTGTCCTCTTCCCTGGTTTCAGGGGCTGCACTAAATACACGTGGCAGGTAAGGAAGATATACCCCCAAGGGGGTAGGATCGAGGACGACGAAGGCGGGTACCGAGGGTTTGGGATATACGTCTTGATTGGCACGTGAGCAGATAGGAGCGAACAAAATTAAAATGATTGTTGTTGTTGTTGGTTGTTGTTGGTTGTTGTTTGCTGTTTGTTGTTTGTTGTTTGCTTCTAGTTGTTTGCTGTTTGTTGTGTGTTGCTTGTTGTTTGCTATTTGTTGTTGTTTGTTGCTGGTTGGCGTCGTCCTTCCCGCGACCCAGCCCGCGACCCACCGGCGACCCACCCCGCGTCCCGCACGCGACCCGCCCGCGACCGACCCGCGAGCCAACCGCCCAACCGCGACCCGGCCCGCGACCCACCCGCGACCCACCCGCGACCCATCCGCGACACACCCCGCGACCCACCCGCATTGCTTTCACGAAAATCGGCGCCTGCGGCGGGCTCGATGTATATGGTATAAACATTAGGCGCCAGCGGCGGGCTTGCTCAGAGCCTCGCAGACTGCAGACGTCCCAGCCGCCCCCTCACTCTTATCTGCGACTGCGGGGTGCTATACATTCCCGACCTAGCCCTCAGGAGCGGCCCGAAAACCAGAGCCCCTACCGAGCCCGAGCTCGTCCGTACATCAGCGCCTCGATTGGCAACACGTGCCATCGGAGATCTACGCTGGCGGTGGGGCTGCCAAGCTGCTCAGACGCGCACAGCTGCGCAGCGGCAGCGCGACAGGTCCACACTCTCCTCCTCCCTCTCGTCCTCCTCCTGCTCATCCCTCCCCTGGCACGGGAATGATGTCGTGGTATCTGCCGGCCCTTGCTTCTGAAGCCAGTGTGGAGCTCGAGAAAACCTGGGAAATCGTGGAAATCTAGAAACGCATCATTCTCGTGAACCCATCTGCGGGCGTGCTGGCCGAAATGTCGGCCGACGTCCTCCGCCTTCAGGATGCCGGAGCCCGGCGCTTGTTGGCGGCGCGCGCGAGGGGCTGGCGCGAGGGGGGCGGCCTCATGTGATGACTGCAGGGCCTCTGGGAAGGCAGTGGGGTGCCTCTTGGAGGCCCTCCCAGCTTCGAAGAAGTCTTCTCAGAAGTCTTCTACGAAGGCTTCTCAGAAGGCTTCCCAGAAGCGCCCTGTACCCCTCTGAGAAGCCCCCTTGCCCTCTCAAGACCTCCCCGCCTTCTTAGATGGCCGCCACCCTCGCACGTCTGGTTTCCTGGCCATGTTCCGGGTCCCTGTCGGCCGTTCGGGACGACCCCGGCCACCCCTGGAGCGCTCGCGGCGAGGCGCAGCCGCTGGAACACATCCCCGGGTTGGACAAGCGCCGAGAACTGACGAGAACACACCTTCGTGGGGCCTCTGGCATGCATCTTCGCAGGTACGCCCCAGGGCAGAGCACTTGCAGGTAGGAGCCTCGATCCCAAATCTCCGACCCCCTCGCGCCATCCCGCCCTGCGCGCCGCCGCGCTCGGGGGGAACCTGACTGTTTCGGCCGGAGCCGCGGGATCCCGAGAAGCTCTTCTGAGGAACCCCAGGTGGCCACCGGAGCGCCCCGTGCGAGGCCCAGAGGTCCCCAGGGGCGCCAGAAGTCGGAGCCGGGCGAGTCGACACGACGGCAGCTCAAAACCGATCCCCGGACCGCTCCCGATTTCCAATTTTTTGTTGGACACTATCGCGCCAGACGGCGAAGCGGTCAAGATGCCCGGCGTACGCTTCGATACCACATCGGCGATGTACACGGCATCCCACTTCGTCGCAGAAGGCTCCTGGGGGCTCCAAGCGTTACTTTGAAAGATGTTTTTTTTTTTTACCCAAAACTCCCGAGCTGGTTCGTTTCTACGAGTGCCACGTGCTGTTGTACCTTGAGGGCGCCACCCGTGGCAGTGTACCACGCTGCTGCAGCCACCGTCCGCCATCTCGACGGACTGCAAGACACTTTTCCGGAAGATGTGGGCCTGACCCCCCAGGAACCACCACTTGAACACGACATGGGTCCACTGGGAATGCGGCGTGGTTGCTCATGGGAAAGCACAGCCATCGCTAGCTTCTCTAAGAGCCGTTCAAAGGTCAACTTGCAAGGTACGGTTTCTCATTGGATTCGAGTTTGCACATCAAAGCGTTGCACGAACCTCTCCAACCCGGCCATTCTCGAATGCTCCATCGGTTAATGCATGGCTTCATTCCTATATTTAACTGCTTGCCTGACATGGTGGTGCGTGCCAGGTCTGTCAAAGGCTTCCAACGTTCGCTGCAACGTCTTGCCAAGGATGCTGCCGTGTCTGGCAGCCATGGGTGTCTTTGAATTTTCCGCCCAGGAGAATGCCGCCGAGAGCATTCACGCATCGTGTGCTTTTTGATTCATTGGGGGCGTGTCGTAGAAACTTTGCTCCAAGCTTTTTGATTCATTGGGGGCTTGTCGTAGAAACCCAGGCGCGCCAATTCTCCAAGCCTTGCCCGGCCGTGGCGACGACGCCCCCCGCCGAAGGCCAACGACCGGTGTCAACTCGCCCTCTGAGGAATATGGCGCGAACATCAAAAAGAACAGCTGGCACACACACACACATGCACTTTTGGAGTTCCGCGCGGATTTCTTGGATCGGCGCTGGGCCCCCCCTCCCTGGCGCGCGGACCCTTCTCACCTCCCCCCTGGGCTCGCCGCGAGCCAGAGGGGCTATGCCCCTTCGGCAGCCGGCGCCGCAAAACGTACACTTTCTCGGAGGGGCCCGGGTGGCCTCCGTCATCGGAGGGCGTTCTGAGGAAGCCAAACATATCCCAAACGGCCGCCTCCCGAACCCGAGTTTTGCCGCTTGGCCCCGAACGCCACATGGACCAAGACACATGGCGCCTCGAGCGGGAAAGCAGAGGCGCCAGCTCTGGCCCCATTGTTTGCCTCTGGAAGCCTGCTGTGGGCCACGGGTTTGGACGCCCGAAATGGGTACGGAAAGAATGGGTACAATACCCAACAACCAATGTTGTCCCAAACCAACAGCGGCCGCTGTTGGGCAGGCGGCCTTCTGCCCCAAATGGACACAGGCGGCGTGGACAGCGAGTCCTGTTCAGAATGAACAGGACCTGCTGTTGGGCATTGTACCCATTCTTTCCGTACCCATGTCGGGCGTCCATAATCCCTTGGGGAGGAGGAGGAGGAGGAGGAGGAGGAGGAGGAGGAGGAGGAGGAGGAGGATCAAGGGTTGAGGATCAAGGGTTGGGCGTCCCATTCTTTCCGTACCCATGTCGGTCGTCCCGAACGGGGCCGTGGCAAAAACGGTCGAGAGGTCTGGTCGAGAGGTCTGGGGGCCCACGCGCAGACACACACCGGAGCGTCGGACACACTTCGTTCGGGAGCTCTCGAGCGAAGTGAACCCCACCCTCCCCCTCAGAAATCGTGGGGGGTAGGGGTAGGGTTCGCGTGTGGCCCCCTAGCAGGGCCGCCGCGAAAGGGTGCTTACCGACGGCTTCCCCAGGCATGGTGGAGTCCAGCCGACATTTGCCCGCCAGCGCCCACTTCTCACCTCCCCATGACCTATAAGACAGGATCCACGGCACCCCGTCTGGAAACGCTGCCCAGGCGTTGCGCTTGGAAGTTCGACTATTGGTCCTCGCCTACCCCCCTGAGAGACCGCGCGTAACTGCTGCGGGGGGCTTGACGCTAGACGCGTGACGGGCAGCGCGGCTATACTCTTAAAAACCAAAGGGAGGTGATTCAAAAACATTCGTCGTTCGTCGTCTTGTGAGCCCATAAACATGGAGTGACGAGCAGGAGCTCCTGGAGCAGCGCGTCGATCTTGTCCAGCACCGCCTCCCCCTTCTCCACCTGTTTCTTGGTGAGCTTGCCCAGGGGCTGGTCGCCCCCCAGCTCCTTCACCTGGCCCGCTTCGGGAAAAGTCTGGACAGGGGCGGGGGGAGGAGGAGGAGGAGGAGGAGGAGGAGGAGGAGGAGGAGGAGGAGGAGAAGGAGAAGGAGGAGGAGGAGGATAAGGAGGAGAAGGAGGAGGAGAAGGAGGAGGGGGAGGGGGAAGAGGAGGAGGAGGAGGGGGAGGAGAAGGAAGAAGAGGAGGAGGAAGGACAGGAGGGAGAGGGGAGGAGGAGGAAAGGGGGGGGGGAGGAGGAGGACAAACATGAGGAGAAAATCGCGATCGTGTGTTTTGTATTTTTTCCGGGTAACGGCCGTTACCCAGTGAAGAGGGGGGGTGGAGGGGAGGAAGGCCGGAGGGGTAACGGTAACGGCGGCCGCGGCGTGCGCCCGCCAGGGTGCGTCCGCTCCACTGGCGCATCAATCGCAACGACGATGTCCACAATGCCTGCGTGCAACACAGCGCCACCTGTGTACACATCACAAGGCATCCGTACAGCACAACGCCCGCGTGCAATGCAGCACCACGTCGCCCATGCAAACCGCAGTGCCTGTGTATACTGCAGCAGCAGTTTCTTATAATAGGATTATACAGACAACCGTTGTTTATAATCGGATTAAGAAAGGAACCCCCATGAAAAACGGAGCGCCTCTGGATTCCACGAAAACCCATGTTTACATAGGGAACCGCTATGGACAGCGGAGCGCCTCTGAATTCCGCATTTGTTGATAAAGGGATCCCTCTGAACATGGGGGCGCCTCCGGATTCCACAGGAAACGAACGCTTCATGTACACGCTATGAAAACAAATCCCCATGGAAATTGGAGCGCCTGAGGATTCTACGCGCGTGCACCACAATGCCTGCGTACACCACAACGCCTGTGTACACCACAGCAGCCGCGTGCAACACAGCGCCGGTGTACCCCAGTGCCTGCGTGCACCTGAACTCTTGCTTGCACCACAGCGCCTGCGTAGATCGCAGCAGCCGTGTGCAACCCAGCGCCAGTGTGCACCACGCTGCCTGCGTGAACCACAACGCCTGCGCACACCGCTGCGCCCGCGGGAGAAGGCGCGGGGCCGGCCAGTCTTCATCTTCTTCCATGGCGCTCGCTAGGTCTACAATCAACACGTGCATGAAGGACGGGTGGTAAGGACGCAAGACCCTGGGAAACCGAACTTGGACTATTGTTGCAAAATTGACAAATCCGCCGACCCCTTGGGGTCATCGGCGTGTGAGATGCTTCCCCCCTCCCCAAACCCCTCCCCCCGGAGCCTGGTCCGGTCGTTTTGGAGGGGGGGGGGGGGGGGTCCGGCCGGATTCCCCGGGATCCGCCGGCGCGGTCCGGGGGGGGTCATCCGCTCCAGAGAGTCTGCTGGGGGGGCCGCAAACGAGCGAAGAGGCTCCCAAGAAGCTCTGCAGACGGTCCAAGAGGGCCCCGAGTCGCCGAAAAAACACTCGAAGACGGTCAAGATGGCCTCCAGATGGCCCCAGATGCCTCCAAGACGCCCCAAGAAGCTTCCAAGACGCCTCCCAAGATGGCCCCAAGAGGCCAAAATCGTCGATTTCCATTGGTTTTTTCAACGTTTTTGGCCTTCGCGTTTTTTCGGGCTTCCGACGCTCCAAGACGGCGAAAGAAGCCCCCAAGACGGCATCAAGACGACCCGAGAGGCTCCCAAGTGGGCCCCAACACGGCCCAAGAGCGCCTCAAAACGGCTCAAGAGGGCCTTCAGACAGTCCAAGAGGGCCCACAGAGGGGCCCAAGAAAGGCTCCAGACGGGGACCACGAACCTAAAATTCTAGCCTTCCGCCCCAAAAGGCGCCAAGGAGGCCCCAAGAGGCCTCCAAGAGGCTCCAAGAAGCCCCCAAGAGGCCCCCAACAAGCCCAAAAAAAGCCCCAAGCTGCCCCAAAACAGCTCCCCAGAAGCCTCCAAACTGCCTCCCGCAGGCCCCCGAGAGGATTCTCACGACGACGGCGCCAGAGGCTCCCACAACGGTCAACGAAGCCCCCAAGATGGCCCCAAAAAGGTGCCCAGCCTACGCCGTCGAGTCTGTCGCCGCCATTGTCGTCCTCGTCGTGTTCTCCTGCTCCTTCTCATCCTCCTCTTCCGCCCCCTCCTCCCGTCTCCCCTCTCAGCTTTCTGTCTCGTATTCCCTCCACTGGCTCACTTTTCACCTTCTCCGCCTTTGGCTGCTCCCCCATCCTCCCTCCTCCACGTCCCCCTTATCCATCCCGTCCCCAGCGGTCAGATTCCTCGCAACTTCCGTGCCTTGTCGCAATGCTCGTCACTTGGTTCCGCCGGGCGTTTCGGAGGGTCTCTCCGCGGCGCTCGTCCCGCTTTAAAACACTTCGCGCACACAACTGGGTTGTTTCGCTTGAAATAATTCTTCTTCTGGTCTTTCGACAAATGGCCCCCGTCTGAAAACGCTGGTTTCTTCCCGTCCCCGTTCGGTGGGCACGCGGAGCATTCAAACTTTTTCGCCCCCGTGCGCGCATCGTGACACGCGCGGCACACGACTGGGCGATGCGCCTGGCCCGTCTTCCTATAATGCACTTTCTGGTTATCGGACAAATGGCTCAAGTCTGTGAACGCGGGCGCCTTCCCATCCGCCCCCGTCGGGCATGCTCCACAACGGAAAATCTGGGCCTCCGATTTTTCGTGGCACGCGCGGCACATGACCGGGCGATGCGTTTGGCCCGTTCTCCTGTAATGTTCTTTCTGACTGTCCGATAAATGGCTCACGTCTGTAAACGCGGGCCTTATCCATCCCGTCCCCAGCGGTCAGATTCCTCGCAACTTCCGTGCCTTGTCGCAATGCTCGTCACTTGGTTCCGCCGGGCGTTTCGGAGGGTCTCTCCGCGGCGCTCGTCCCGCTTTAAAACACTTCGCGCACACAACTGGGTTGTTTCGCTTGAAATAATTCTTCTTCTGGTCTTTCGACAAATGGCCCCCGTCTGAAAACGCTGGTTTCTTCCCGTCCCCGTTCGGTGGGCACGCGGAGCATTCAAACTTTTTCGCCCCCGTGCGCGCATCGTGACACGCGCGGCACACGACTGGGCGATGCGCCTGGCCCGTCTTCCTATAATGTACTTTCTGGTTATCGGACAAATGGCTCAAGTCTGTGAACGCGGGCGCCTTCCCATCCGCCCCCGTCGGGCATGCTCCACAACGGAAAATCTGGGCCTCCGATTTTTCGTGGCACGCGCGGCACATGACCGGGCGATGCGTTTGGCCCGTTCTCCTGTAATGTTCTTTCTGACTGTCCGATAAATGGCTCACGTCTGTAAACGCGGGCGCCTTCCCATCCGCCCCCTTCGGGCATGCCCCACAACGGAAAACCTGGGCCTCCGACTTTTCCAGGCGTCGTCGTCGTCGTAGTAGTAGTAGTAGTCGTAGTTGTAGTTTTAGCCTTCGGCTTTTCGGCCTTTTCGGCTTCCCGACGCTCCAAGACGGCCAAAGAGGCCCCAAAGACAGCCCCAAGATGGCCCAAGAGGCCCCCAAGACGGCCTCCAGACGGCCCAAGACGGCCCCAACACGGCCCAAGAGGTCCCCAAGACGGCCCAAGAGGGCTCCAAGACGGCACCAAGAGGGGCCCAAGAGGGCGACCAAACATGTTGAAACTCTAGCTTTCTGCCCCCAGGAGCCCCAGGGGGCCCCAAGAGTGCCCCAAGAGGCCCCCAGAGGCCCTCACGAGGCCGCCCAGACGCCCCAAGGAACCCCCAAGAAGCACCCCAGAGGCTCCGAAACGGCCCCCAAGTGGCTCCAAAACTCGCGGTGTCGCCGTCCGCTCGGACCCCCCCGCGGAACTGCCCGAGACCCTCTGGCGGTGGCGGCGAACAGACACCAAACAAATATCACTCGCCTTTTCACCCCTTCGCAGCTTCTACTACCCCCAGATTGGCATAAACAAGGGGTCGGCGGTGTGGCGTAAGCCTAAGAATCAAAACGGCAAAGGACAGGCCGCAGAGGCAAGGACACAAGGTTTTTCACAAGGGTAGTCTCTGGGGAGATCTGGGATATTAGGAACATTTGGAAAACGCAGGATGTTGCACCAGGATCGTTGCTGGGGTGATCTGGAATATCTGGAAAACGCAGCCTTTTGCAACGGCGAGTGTCCCGAGAATAGGAAATCGACAGAAAGAGAGAAAGAGAGAGAAGGAGAGAGGAAGAGAGAGGGAATCACGACGTCTCCTGATGGGCATGTCCTCCACTACCAAAGCCACCAGTTGGAGAGGGGGAGGGGCTCCTCCTTCTCTTCTTCCTCCTCATCCTGCTCCTTCTCCTCTTCCTCCTCCTCCTCCTCCTCCTCCTCCTCCTCCTCCTCCTCCTCCTCCTCCTCTTGCCCCCCCAACATTACGAAAGTGGTGGCGGAAAACAAGCCCATCATATCCTGTCTTGGTGCGGTCCAGGACTTCCTTGAGCGTGGGGGGGCGCCCTTGGGGCTGAGCACTCGCGAAGTGCAGCTCAAGCCGAGCAGACCCCCCCCGGTCGATCTGCGCCACGCCGCCCGTGATCGGGATCATTGCGCGGAGCAGGCTTGACTGGGACCGAGCTTAAAGCAAAAGTCATTAAGCCTGCGTGCCTACGGACATGTTGTGTTTTCTCTCTGTCTGTCCTCGAGAGAAGCTGTTCGACCTTCAACCTTCGAACGCCCCGCAAGGACCACAGTAAACAAAGTAACATAAATAATTGAAGCCGCCGTCGGCAGAGAGACAACGACAAGAACAAGCCATGAAGCGGACAACAGGGAACGAGCATGGAGGGAGAAGATGTGGAGGGGATGGGGAGGGAGAGAAGGAGGAGGAGGAGGAGGAAGAGGAGGAGGAGGAAGAGGAGGAGGAGGAGGACGGGGATGAGGAGGAGGAGGAAGGCCAAAAGGAGATGAGTAGGGGAAAAAAAAAGAAAGGATGACGGGCGATGATGGGGAAAGAAAGGAAGAAGATGAGGAGGCCGTTCGACTGTCAACCTTCGAACGCCCCGCAAGGACCACAATAAACAAAGAAAGAACGTAATATTAAAGCCGCCGTCGGCAGCGAGACAACGACAAGAAAAGGACACGAAGAGGGCAAGAGGGAACGGGCATGGAGGGAGGAGGAGGGGAGGGGATGGGGAGGGAGAGAAGGAGGAGGAAGAGGAGGAGGTAGATGAGGAGGAGGAGGAGGACGGGGACGAGGAGGAGGAGGAGGACAGGGATGAGAACGAGGAGGAGGAGGAAGACCATGAGGAGATGACTAGGGGAAAAGAAGAAGACAGGATGAGGGGAGATGATGGGGAGGGAGAGGAGGATGATGAGGAAGAGGAGGATGACGGCGACGACGATGACGAGGATGGGGAGAAAGATGATTAGGATGAGGAGAAAGAAGGCGACATGTATGATCACAGGGGGGGGCGAGCTTATATATATATATATATATATATATATATATATATACATATTCAGCCACCCCCCCAGCACCCCCCCCCCCAGGGCCCGTCATCCTCATCATCATCCCCATCGCATTTCTCCTGACCCTCATCTGCATGATTATGAGGATCAAGATGCGGAGGAGGAGGATGATGCTGATGATGAGGATGATGATGATGAGGAGGAGGAGGAGGGCGGAGATGATGACAAGGCGGATGGGGCGGATAATGCGGAGCAGGCGGATGATGATGAGGATGAGGATGATGATGATGATGAGGAGGAGGAGGAGGGGGATGATGATGATAATGATGATGATGATGATGATGCTGCTGATGATGATGATGATGATGATGATGATGATGGTGATGATGATGATGATGATGATGACGATGACGATGGTGATGATGATGATGATGATGATGATGATGATGATGATGATGATGATGATGGTGGAAGTGGTGGTGGTGGTGATAATGATGATGATGATGCTGATGATGATGATGCTGATGCGGAGACTGGCAATCATGATGCTGACGATGATGGTGATGAGCAACATGAGAATGAGGTGGTGGATGATGCGGAGGGGGATGATGATGATGTGGATGATGAGGATAAGGAGGAAGGAGGAGGAGACGGAGGAGGATGCGGAGGAGGATGTGGAGGATTATGCGGAGGAGGAGGATGGGGAGGAGCTTATTCGCTGATGGCGTCATTACCATTCGGCGAAGGGGCTTGTGTGTTTGATCTACGTTCTTGTGGCCATGTTTCGACTGTACCCGCGGATAGTTTCTTGTCGCAGTTATCTTGCTCCTCTTCCTCCTCCTGGTCTCTCTTCCTCGAGTCTCGCCTCCTCATCTCTCGTCCTCATCTCTCCTCCTCTCTCCTCCACCTACTCTTCTGCCTGGTTCCCCCTCTTACTATTCAGCCGACTCTTCTTCCTAGTCTCTCTTGCTCTGCCTGCTTAGTGTCTCTTGCCCCTCCGAGGAGGAGAGGGGGGAGGAGGAGGAGGGAGGAAGGAGTTTGAGGAGGAGCAGCAGGAGAGAGCGGAGGATGGGGGGGAGGAGGAGGATAAGGAAGAGGAAACGGGGGGGGAGGGGGCAGGAGGAGGGGGATAAGGAGGAGCATGCGCAGCCAAACCATGCTATTCACCGGTTTTTGTGGTGTGTTGGTCAGGGAAGCCACGAAACCTTGCTATTCACATGTTTTTTTTGTTTTTCTGGTTTTCAGAAGCTCCACAAGCTTGGCCAGAGGAGGGCGCGGGGGGTTGTGGAGCTTCTGAAAACTCAAAAACAAAAAAAAACATGTGAATTCCATGGTTTCGTGGCTTCCCTGACCCCAAAAAACAAAAAACCTGTGGATAGCATGGTTTGGTGGCCACGCCCCATTCCGCAAGCCTTCGAGAGAGAGAGAGAGCGTGAGAGAGAGAGAGAGGGAGGATAAGGAAGAGGAAACGGGGGGGGGAGGGGGCAGGAGGAGGGGGATAAGGAGGAGCATGCGCAGCCAAACCATGCTGTTCACATGTTTTTTTGTTTGTTTGGTCAAGGAAGCCACGAAACCTTGCTATTCACAGGTTGTTTTGGCTTTTCTGGTTTTCAGGAGCTCCACAAGCTTGGCCAGAGGGGGGGCGCGGGGGGTTGTGGAGCTTTTGAAAACCAGAAAACCAAAAAAACATGTGAATAGCATGGTTTCGTGGCTTCCCTGACCCCAAAAAACAAAAAACCTGTGAATAGCATGGTTTGGTGGCCACGCCCCATTCCGCAAGCCTTCCTGGCGAAGGAATAGGAGGGGGAGGAGGAGAAGGAGGAGGAGGAGGAGGGACAAAGAAAGAGGACTGAGAGTGAGAGAGAGAGAGGGTGAGAAAGAGAGAGGGAGAGAGACAGAAAACACAGCAATGGGGCCAGGAGGGGTGCTGGGGGGGGGGGCTGACCATATATATATATATATATATATATGTGTGTATGTGTATGTTGCATCTGTAAATCTAGACTTCCAGCCGAAACGCTGTCATAACCCTAAATCAGGAACGGGGGCCCTTTTTCCATTCGCTGAACTTCGATTCCCCCATCTCAAGGAAAACCTGAGACAACATGTAAACCAGTTAAGGAGCACTGGGCCCCTCCCCAGCGAAAAGCAAGCGCGCCCAACCTGGCCCTTCACGATCTTGCTCGGGTCACCCAGCGCCCTGTGCTCCACGTCCACCCTGACGAAGAGGCCTGGCATAGCGGCCTCCTAGATGGGGCTCGGAGTAGATGGGGTCGGAGGATCGCGCCGCATCGCCGATACATCCATCGGCGATGCATCGCCGACGCATCGGCGGTACATCGGCGGTATATCGGCGACGCCGGCGTGGAGAACCTCGGGCTCCACATCGAACCGCATCGCCGATGCACTGGCGAGGCGGCGCGATCCTCCGACCCCAGCTGCTCGGACCCCATCTCGGAGGCCTGGACGGCAGGGGCCCCCGTGCGCGGCATCCGTCAGCGCGGGAGCGGGGAGCCCGGTCGGATCGGAGTGGGCAGCGGATCGGGCCGCATCGGCACGGAGTCGGGATCGGAACGGCTCGGCCGCGCCGACTGGACCGCCATGGGCCCTGCGCGTCGCCGCGCGAGCCGGGGAGCGCGGCGGCGAGGCGTAGCTCCGCGGCGGCGGCGACGTGGGCTCAGGCCGCCGCGGGACGACCTCTGGCACGCGGCAGCGTAAGAGATGCTCGTCGGTTCTCAAATCAAATGTTCTGCCTCGGGCTGCGTTCCAGCAGCTGCGCTTCCCCGGATCTTCCAGGACGGCTGCCCTATAGACCCGATGCATGGCCCGACGACCGACGGGGCCAGTGGCCAGCTACACGTGATGTCGGTCAGGAAACGGGACCCGTCGCTAATCCACGCCTCCTTGATCCATGTTTGCGATCGCCGGAGTGTCGCGCCGCCAATTCTGGCACCTCTGCCCCGCCCCCTCCCCACCGACTCGACACGCCTCGGGCGGACTCCGCGTTCAGTCGGGGGTGCTTCTGGCCGTGCCAGAATCACGGCGCCGAGAACGGCAGCCCGAACGTCGGCCACCAACCCACAGGGCCGCCCAGAAGTCTCCGACGCGACGGCGGCGTCGGCGGTGACGACGGCAAGGCGTGGGCATCCCCATAATGAACACTTGGAGGAGGGCCTGCAGATGCCTCCCAGATGGAGTCAGAGTAGATGGGGTCGGAGGATCGCGCCGCATCGTCTATGCATCACCGGTGCATCAGCGGTGCATCGGCAACGTCGTCGATGCATCAGCGCCGTCGATGCATCAGCGCTGGGGATGGAGGCGATGCTGTACTGTTGCCATTATACCGCGCACCGCTCTCCGAGGAGCTCCCACCACCCTGTACTGGACATTGGAAATCAGGGGTGCGCCCGAGCAAGACATCCTCCCCCTCCCCGTCCTCACCTTCCTTCCCGTCTCTTCGCTTCGTATCCTACTTTTCACAGTCCCTCTCCAACGTCCATTCCTCTCCCTCCTCGTATCCTCACGTCCCCCGACTATGCCCTTCAGCCTGCAGCATGGAAAGGCTGGTTGCTGCTTGTCCATCGTGCCTTTGGCCACCTAGCTACGGCCATTTGCCAGCTACGTTTGCAAGATGATCCTGGAGATAACGTCAGGCTTGTCGTACGTATCAACAGGCATTGGTGCATTATGTCGGCACCAATGTGCCTGAAACTGCGACCGCTGAGGTCACCGCAACATCCCGATGCGACCGGCGAGGTCGCCAAAGTCGTGTTTTCGCAACAAACTCACACGAGAGGCCCAGGACCAGCTGCGAGAGCATTGGTGCTGAAACCTTTCATGAGATTAACGGGCAGCGCGTGAAAGCGAAGAGCTGTGCAATGACGTGCACCATCATCAACACCAACTGTAATGTGGGTGCCGTATGCGAAGTCCACATGGGCTACCGATAGACGCGCGCCCCACGAACGTTCACAAGCCTGTTCCTGTTGATCCTCCCCACTCTTCTGTATTCATCAAATTTCCTCCGTCACGCTCCCACGTCGATCATCATATTTATCATCATGACCATGATCAGCATCATCATCATCATCATCATCATCATCATCATCATCATCATCATCATCACGGCCACCGTCACCATCACCACCGTCACGTCACCATCGTCACCAGCATCAGCACCATCATCAGCAGCAACAACACCAACACCAGCACTATCAACACCACAGCCATCAACAACATAATCAACGCACGCACCACCTTTCGCAGCGACAGCGGCACCATCATCAGCAACAACATCAGCGTCAGCCTTTACAGCAGCATCGCCATATACATAATCATGGTCACCATCATCATCAACAACAACACCATCATCATCACCATAATCATCAACATCACCAACATCATGGCGTCTGTCTTTTGACAGACGCGCGCCATCGCGACATGTGCGTGGCTTGCGTTGGCGCAAGTATCAGACCTACCCCAGTCAGCGGGGCACACCCCAACCACGGTGACCCAGAAAGCCCTGTCACGCCGAAGGGGGACTACATGGTACCAACCCTCACAAAACAAAAACTCCCCGCGAAGTCGCCACGCGGTGCAGGCCCTGAAGGAGCCGACCCTACGCGGGGGCCCCACCCTCAGGTCCGTCCGCCCGTGGTGCCCTGCGGACCGCTCGTGAGGGGCCGTGGGTTTCATGCCGCAAGCTGTAGGGGGTGGTCGCTTTCCCGCTTACGAAAGAGGGGGTGGGCCATCGTCCCGACCCAGATCCCTGGGCAAACGCGACCCTGCAAGGCCGAGTCTCCGAGACTACAACCTCCGCACTCCCTGCGGGAGAGGCCCAACGCTCCGCGCAGCGGGACAGGTGACTGTCGCGCCCAGCCCATGGCCGAGACGGCAGGAGATGGCTGGAGGCAATACGTGGGAATGGCCTCTGGGCCCAGACAACTAGAGAAGAAACAAGCGCACTCCCTCTTACTTTCCCCGCAATACTCCCGTGCTATAAGGTAAACCGAAGAACACAGTCATCATGGCGTCCTTTTTTCGACAGTCGCGCGCCAGAGCGGCCTGTGTGTGCGCGTTGGCGCACGTATCAGACCCCCCCCCCATCAGCGGGGCCCACCCCCACGACGGCGACCCAGAAGGGCCCGTCAATCCGAAGGGGGACTAAGTGGCAGGATCCATCAAAGAGCCCCCCCCCCAAAGTCGCCACGCGGAACAGGCCCTGAGGGCGCCACCCTCAAGTCCAAGTCCACCCATGGTGCCTACGCGGGGGCCCCACCCTCAAGTCCACCCATGGTGCCCTGCGGGCCGCTGGCGAAGGCCGTGGGTTCCATGCGGCAGGCTGTAGAGGGCGCTCGCTCTCCCGCCAACGGCAGGGGGGGGGGGGGGGGGCATAGTCCCGACCCAGATCCCTGGGTCAACGCGTCCCTGCAAGGCCAGGTCTCTGAGACTACGACCTCCGCATTCCACCTTTTTCCGTTGTTCTGGCTAACAAGCCGCGCAGTGTGAACTGCGGGCGCTCGCGCCTGCCCTCTGGCTCGAACCCATAAGGCTCACCCAACACAGGCAGCTGCCCGTCGGGCAGCAACAAACACACCTCCGCCCCATCCCAGGATGGCTAACCCGCCGCTTTGACCACTAAAATTATGAAAGTATGGGTTGGCTCCGGTTCTTGAGCTACGGTAAATGTGGCTACCGAGTGCCACATTACGAGGACAGCGTCGTCGACGCTAACAATCTCGCGCCGATTGGGCCTTTGGCCCGGCTCTGTGAGACGAAAATTGATGACAGCACTTGTTCCTGTCCAGGCGATCGCGACGTCACGCTTCCGAATCGCCGAGGCCTCGCCCGTTCGCAGCCCGCAACGAAACGCCACTGCAACGGTGAGCGCAGAAGCCTTACGTTGAACATTACCCCTGCGACTGCCAGCGTCACCGCGTGCGTCAGCGGCGGAGCCTGCTCTGGCAACTCGAAGTGACCCAAGGCAGCTTTCAGGCGCCACGCTGGCGGATGGTGGCGCCCGGCGCCCGGGATGATGTGCTGCGCCGCTGCGAGAGGGCGCAGGCAGCCCAACCCTTCGGCTCGCCATCGCCCCAGAGATACTATACGTACACTGCGCGCAGCTTGTCCAGCTAGTCAAAATTGATGACCATGCGCCCACTCGTGGTACTCTGCATCGCAATCAATGTCTTGCGTCATCACACGCTTAGTCAAAACGTTGTCGCCTGGCCTGCCCATTGCCGCTCGCGCCGCCTTCCTTGCCCCCTTCGCGCTCTGGGCGCCCCTCAATCTCCCCCTCAATATCACCCTCCAAGCATTCGCGGCGCCCTGCCTGGTGCATCGGCGGGGTTGCCCGCCGCGCGCACGTCGATGAAGAAAGCGGCGCTGAGGGTCGCGAGGCAGAGGGCCTTCAGACGGCATGGCACAGCATTGAAGCGGCGAGACGACGAGCGGCCCTTCGCAGCGACCGCCACAGCCACCTGCGAGTCCACGAAAAGGCCGACCCTCGGGCCGAGGGCCTTGAAGTGACGCGTGCGCCACCGCGGCGCATTGCGCACCATCTGCAGCTCCAGCTCGCTGACGCGGTGCGAGCGATGGAACATAATGGCCAATGCGCGCTGCCAGCAGCAGCGGCGCTTGTCGACGCTAACCATTGGCCAGGCGTTGTACCAGCACGGCAGCCCGATGTCCAGCCTCACGTCGCTGCCACAATGATCGACACGGCGGTGCATTTCGAGCATCAGGTTGTGCATGATGTCGTCCGAGCTCCGTGCACCCGTAGGCTGCGCCTCGGCAGCGAACCCCGGCATGGCTGGCGCGTCGCGTTCCAACCGCTGCCGGTCCAGCACGCGCGCCTCACGGCTCGCCGCGCACTAACAGAAGGCGGCCTGGAGCACCGACGGCGTCGGAGGCCACTCCAGGAGCTCGGCGCGGTACAAGCGCTGCCCGACGAGCCGCGCTGTCACCCCCGCGTGGAACGCGTTCCCGAGCTGCGCGCGTCGCGTCCTCGAGCTCCTTGCGCCCCCAGGGCTCTGGCCTGCGCAAGTCCCTCTTGCCAGCAAGCGCTTGCCCTGGCCAGTGCCCCATGGAGATCTCGCGCCCCGACGCCGTCGCCACGCGTGAGCACCCGACGCCGATGCAACACTGCGCCTGGTACTGGTGCGGCGCAAACCTTTCAGCGGTCCCCACCCCCATGCTCGAGGGCGATCGCGCCGCAGCCCGCCACCCCCCTCGGG